GCAAATTAAAAAACAGGCAATTATTAGCTTCAGGGAAAATGAAGGGATGCACAAGAAATGAGCAACACTACAGTGTAGTACAGGCTCAGTAGAGAACATCTGCATCCTCGTAACAATGTAAGCACTGACTTCTAATTTAACCACAACATGTGATGTAACACTGGGGCAAATGCACAAAAACGTCAACAGCTTAATCTTCATCTACCATGGAAGGAAGTCAATTGAAAATGTCTAAAATGGAAAGAAATAGAAATATAATTTTATTCACAAAAAATGTAATTAAGCCCAAGGGAAACAGCTAGAAGAAGGGTTCAACATAATTGCCTTTAGGAGAAGGGCTAAGGAGGATTAGGGAGTGAGTGTGGAAGGGATTACCATTTTTCATTCTAAACCCTTTAGTATAGTATGGGATTTTTTAAAAACCTTTTTCATTGTGAAGTCTAACAAATATAGAAAATCAAAATCAAAACAACAATCTTCAGGTTAATCAGTTATTACAAACATCTGTACAACCACCACCCCATGAGCCTTCCCAGAACCCCTGGCAATCACAACTGCCTATCACTGCTTAAAGATAACCACTATCCTGGCTTTGACAGTTAATTACTCTGTAGCTATTCTTTATAGAGTTTGACCAGCTTCATATGTGTCTCTAAATCTATGGTTTAATTCTAAATGTTTTTGAACTTTATATCTGTGGAATCAAAGAATATGTATAAAACATACACATACCATTTTCCTCACATTGGCTGATGAGAAGTTTTTAGTAGCCTTTAAAGACAATTGCCCAATCTCCTCATTCTCCTACTCTCCCTTACTCATCATAAATATTCAAGTAATAACGATAGCTAAACCCTTATTATGTGCTGGGTTTCTGTTTTAGGAATATTCACTCATTTAATCATCAAAACAACATCCTAAGACAAGTTTTACCGTCATCCTCATTTTACAGAGGGGGAAAACAGGCACAAAGAGGTTTGAGTTAACTTGGCCAAGATCACACAGCTAGTAGGTGACTGGGCAGGATTCAAACCATGGACTTTGGGCTCTGACCTACCTTCTCACGGGAGAATAGCTATCAATAAAGGAAAAACTAAAAGTACAGGATATGATAAAATGTTATTACTGTTACTATGAAGGTTAAAATAAAAACTACATGAGGATGATTTTAGTGCCTCATCCTTCTCCCAAACAATTAGCTACATCAAAGGTAAACTACTTAAAGTGCCTGAAGAGCCGTGTGTGCACAGAATAAGTACCCCAACACAGGCTGTAACTGTCCTGAAGGGCTTACATGGGCCAAAAGACAATGAGAGTATCTGATCAAATGTCAAAATTCTGTCTTAGTTCTGTAATGTTATTTAAGGAAAAATTCTGAGCCTTGAGTAACTAAGTCCACTGTCTTATTTTTAAATTAAGGCCCCCAGAAAGTCTAACATCTCAAACAATTTAACTTACCAGTAATAATAACGTGGGGCTCTCTCTTTTCTAAGACATCTTTGAGAGTTAACAAGAGTAAGACTACAAGAACAACCGAAATCACCTAATCCAGTTCTGTTTTCTTAAGGCTAAGCATACTGGAACTCAGAGGAGTACTTACCCAAAGTGACATATACTAGTCTGTCACTAGGATAGAAACCCAAGGTCTCCTCGCTTCTTTCTACTACATGGCTATATACCATCAGTCCACTTACAAAGCTGCCAAGTAAATAAATTCATGATTGCCAAAAGTATGTCTCAGTCATGCTACCTTTCACCCATACTTGTCCCCCTTCATAACCTAATTATAGTAAATTTTCTTCCTCCATTCAATAAATACTGGATACCTACTGTGTTCCAGGCTTTCTTTTAAGCATAGCAGTTTATATACAGAATGTCCCACATACAGCTCACAGTGCAACAGTAGAGGTTTGGGGTACTAATATTATAAATACAAAGTGCTACGAAGGTAGATTCTTAAAATACTCCCAAAAAAGGGAGATGAGTAAAAGGGTTACAGGCATGACCTGAAGGATAAATATGATTCTGATAAGAGAACTGTGGCAGGAATATCAGGCATTCCAAGGTAGGAACAGCAAAAAAAAAAAAAAAAAAATCACGAAGTCCCCAAAGTAAGAGTGTACAGGACTTGTGTGAAGAACTGTATCCATTTAGCTGGATCGTAAACCACACTAGCAAATAAACTTAGAGAAGTAGGGGCCATACCAGTAAGAAGTCTCACATTCTATACTAAAATATCTGAATGTAATTCAGAAGCCTGTGGATACAGTGACCACTAAAGATTTCTGAGGAAAATAAAACTGGGACGGCATTTAAGAGTAACTTAGAAGCAAAACATGACAAGAAGCAGGGAATCATTTAGGAAGTTAGAGCAATCCTGATGAGATACTGAGAACCTTAACCAAGGTAAAAGTGGGTATGAAAAGATTAAAGCATTACAGAAGTAAAAAGAGTATGCCATGACAGCTGAATACATGTAGGAGGGGAAAGACAATTTGGTGCCTTTGATGGAAAAGAACTTAGGATGTACTGTTAACAGAAAACAGGCAAGCTAAACTAAAGGTTGAGACACATGTAACCCATTTAGAGACTATAATCTAAACCAAGGGGGAAATGTATTAATCTTACTTTATTTCAGAAAAGTAAACCTTCTCTTAGTAAAATAAACATAATACACTATGATGTGCAAACTACAGTATGCAAAAAACCCAAATTCAAGCTGCATAATTTGAAAAGTGGATGCTTTTTATACTTATTGCATTTGTATAGACATAGGTACTAGAATAAATCATGTTTCTATTAAAATATACATACCAAGCTTCAGCATAAGATACTAGGAATGCACTGTAGGTTAAAAGTAATATTTAACAACCACAGATGAAAATTATTTAATGAATCAGTTGCAAAATCCAGTTACTAAGTATTAGCAGAAGAAAATTACCACTGATCCATCATACATGTCAAAAACTATCATTTGGTTCAGTTAAGTTTGGAATCATCAATCCCTTCTGATTAAATCAAATGCATGTGGTCTTTGCCTGTTTAACAGTGAACTACGTGCAGGGTTTGTATTCTAGACACCTTGGAGCCCTAGTGCTCAGCATTTAGGAGGCCCCTAGAAGATCTTTGATAAAGGGAATAAATGGACATCAACAAAGGAATGCTTTTCAAGTATACAGCACTTTCATAACTTGGCGAATATTACACAACAGCACAGAACTAATGATCCAATATCTGAGTGCCTACTGTTCAATAGGTAATGGAATTACAAAATGAGTAACACATGACTCCTCCCTTCAACTTAGGATTTATTTCTCTGAACAAGCCAAACACCACAGGCTTCATCAGAAGACCCTGATTTACACTATTTGTATGACCATTAGTGAGTCTCTTAACTGCTTTAAGCTTCCAGTTTCTCATCTGAAAAACAGATGAGGATTCAATAGAAAGAAACGTGAGAGTGCTCTGTATCAGAAGTACAATGTATGCCAGTTGGCTCCCCACACAACTCAGCAAACTGATCAGGTACTTAATTAAGAATGACATTGAGGACTTCCCTGGTGGCACAGTGGTGAAGAAGCCGCCTGCCAATGTAGGAGACACGGGTTCGAGCCCTGGTCCAGCAAGACCCCACATGCCGTGGGGCAACTAAGCCCATACGCTACAACTACTGAGCCTGTGCTCTAGAGCCTGCGAGCCACAGCTACTGAGCCCGCATGCCACAACTACTGAAGCCCACGTGCCTAGAGCCCGTGCTCCACAACAAGAGAAGCCACCGCAATGAGAAGCCGGAGCACCGCAACGAAGAGTAGCCCCCACTCGCCGCAACTAGAGAAAACCCGTGCGCAGCAACGAAGACCCAACGCAGCCAAAATTTTTAAAATATAAATAAATTTTAAAATAAAAAAAAAAAACAAAAACGAATAACATTGACACAAGCAAATCCAAGCATTCAACTGGCTCAACACAAGGCCATCATCCTACCGTGGCCTTGGAAAAACCCTCAAAACAAACAGTACACTGACCGTAAGTCAGAAATAGGATCTTATTATGAGGACAACACAATCTAGAGACGGATAATTTATAAATTTTTACTAGACAAATTTTTGAAAATTAAAAGTACATATTTTAATTTATCTGAGTATTAGAAAATTCCTACTGTAATTCAAACACACAATACTATTAAAATTCAAACTTTAATATTTCTGAACAATGAAATAATAAAACTACTTTATTGAATACAATGTCTCCTCCATCTCAAGACTTCCTTCATCTAAGACCATCTCGAATGCAAAATCCTAAAGTTTCAAAACTAGAATTTTGAAATACACTAATAAACAAATCTGGGGGAAAACTAAAGCCCTTCCACTGATCAAATCTAGCTTCAAAATACACAACAATAAGCTCTCCAGAAGACATGCTATATATCTATAACACCGTTATTTTCTTATCCACCTAAGTTAATCTTTACAAGACAATTAAATGCATCATTTGAGCCAGCATTTCTTCACAGAATATGCCAATCAACACCACACTCTCATAGTAGGCAAGTGCAAAAAAAACTAAAAATCTCCCCTCAAAAATGGAAGATGCTATCAAGAATATTTCTGAGCTAAATATTGATGGCACCTATTTCAATTAAATTATCTAAAAACTGTACAACCATGAAAATGCATCACCATTTATTTGTACGTGAAATTTACACAGCAAGGACACCTTTACCGCATGGACCTTAGATTTTTCTTGTGACGGTTTTATATATATCATCATCTAGAGCTCCTTATTTTATTCAGGAAAAAATAATAATAAAACACGGCATAAGTAATAAAAGATTTAAGATTATCTTCCAGAAAGGTGACTTTTAAAACTGTTCTTTCCCTGCTTGGACAACATAAAACGTTCTTAAACTAGAACAGACTCAGCTGAAAGGAAATCCTTCAGCAACAGAGATTTTGGAAAGATTCTATATCCAAATTCTGCATTATTAAATGCTTTCTTACCTTCTGCTACATCATCATCTACTGCTCCTTTCACCTGAGAAAAACACCACTGAATATCATTCCCTCCTCCAGCTCCTGGAAAAAGAAAACATACCAATTAAAACTGAGTCCTACTCATGTTTACTCCCATAAACAGAGATGGCATCCATAGTTGGCATGATACTAACAGCCTGGTACTGCCCACACATACAACCACCACCCCACAGCACTAATTTGGAAAAAGGTTAGTCCTCAATGGCTGGTATTGCATTAAAAAAGAGAGAGATTCCAGGTCTGAAATATTTAAAGGCCATGTACTATCGTTACCACTGTACATCAGTTCAAAAGTTCCCTTCCATTTTCCCTTCCCCTCAAACACAGTAAAAGCCTTACTTCAAGCAAGACCTACCAGAAAAAGTAAATACCGAAAGTTAAAGAGTTTTCCTTTAAGGCTACAAAAGGCTGCAGGAGAGTTAATAAGGTTAAGCTACCATAAAACACGGAACGAAGAGAAAACTTCAGGAACATTACTGCCTGGGTGAGGAGCGATGATTCATATGAACCCTATCACCACAGCGCACATACAGCAAACACAACCTCACCACCCATTTCTTTGCAGTTCATTACCAGCAAATCACTGGCTCCAGAGAGGAAAAGAAACTGAATTGAATGTTGGTGAAGAGATTGCCAAAAGGAAGCTTGGTTTGCCTCCCTTCACCTAATCCGTCAGAATCCAAAGGACCTGGCAAAGAATTAATTTCGCTCATTTGTCATCATCTTGTGCAGAACAATTTTAATTTCACTTAATCATCAACAAGGCCAAAAAGCAACTTATGCATAGCAAACCCTAAGTCAATCCAACATGTTAACTTTTTTACAGGTTTAATTATCTATCTAAATATTGATTAGAGCACGGAAAACTGGTTTAGTCCCTGAATGTTTCCATTTCACTGCCAAGCAGGGAGGGGGCAATGTCCTGGATCTATGGAGAAAGAAACTGAATCTAGATCTAGGACCGATTCTACTAAATGAAGGAAGATATTCAGCAACACCAAAATATACAAAAATAATCCTCGAAGCAATTACCTTTCTCTTCCTTCACCTCCATTCCTTGCTAAATATTCCAACCTGGTTTTCTCTCTGCATCTCCCCCCCTCCGCCCCAAGCTTTTACCTAAATCTCTCTCCTCTTGGCTATTTATATCTCTGAGCTCCACAACTATTTTAACTAACTCCATGAAACCCTTTTGGGAAAAGGACATCTGCACAAAAGCTAACATGCAAAACGGAAAGTTTAAATTACATTTTTCACGCAACTCGCTGTATTAGAGGCCTTGCACTCTTTGGACCTAAAGGGTAAAAAAAAACGAAAGGGAGATGGTTCCAGACAAAAAAAAAAAAATTCAGGCTTACAGTCTCAAAAATATACGTACCCACAGTGGAAAGAAATACACGTTATGTCCCCATTGTATTTCAACTTATATAGCACTCTTCCTTCTCAGTGCAAAATACATTTATTTGTAGGAACACCCAAAAAGGCTTGCAGCAGGGAGAAACATAGGAATTAAAGGACGAGCCGCAGAAAAGCCCCCTGGGGGGGGGGGTCGGGGGCGGAGGTTCCACCGGGCTCCCAAGCGCAGGGACGAATCGGCACTCGCCCCTACCCCGCCCCACCCACGCCTTACCCCTCAGCTCGCCGGCACACACCCCACCCCCACCCATGCCCAGGCTCCAGCCCTCCTGTTCAAAGCCATTTCGATACCACAGCGACCACTCGCCTGTCCAGAACCCGCCCCACCCCCACCCCAGCCCACCTGACCAATTCCCTGAAATCCCAGGGGTGCCCCGTGGCTCTCCGAGAGGCGCAAGCAGTCGCTAGGGGGTGATGGAGGGAGGAGGAAGGAAGCGGTGCCTTGTCAGTGGAGAGGGTGATTTCTCCTTTACCTGCCATGTTGCGCTGCAAATGGTGACCCGGCTGGGTTCCTCGGGGTCTCCGCTTCCTGAACTCACCCCCCTCACCTGGGGATGGGGGGGTAGAGAGGGCGGATGGCGGCGGATGGCACCTGTGGGGGGAGGGGGCGGGGGTCGGGGGAGAAGGAAGGAGGGGCTGGCAAACCAGCCGGCGGGATGGTGGACTTCACTCTTGGTCTTCCCCACTCTTGCTCTTTCTCCAGCGGCGGCGGCGGTGGCTACGACGGCGACGGCGGCGGCGGCAGCGGCAGGGCAGGCGACTCCACTTTCAAAATGGCGCCGGCTGGCCTGGCCAGTGACGTCACCAGGAGGGCGGAGCCGCAGGCCTGGGCCGGAGGGGCGGGGCGGGGCGAGGGCTGGAGCG